CGCGAAAAATTACATTTTACGTTAGCGACGTCATTACCTCCCATTTAAGGTAAGATTTGCGTACACAGTTAACTTGAATTCAACTAATTAAACTAAGGAGGGACCCGCCATTTTGAATTGCTTGGATCAACAAATGTTCGATTACTACAATATTATCGAAAATAAAACATCACCTACCTCAAAATCGCCGTTTTCATGTGATTTTAACCAAATTTGAATCGTAGAAGTAACGTAATAACCTCCAGTTTGTAAGTTTTCATTTGTATGACGTCACGTTTAGCCCATGACGTCTTTGCGCCAAAATCATTCATGAAGTTTTGCGGAATTTATTTTATTTCAAATTTATACATTTTTTCAAGCTCTAACGTATTATTTCTTTTTGTAATGCATTATAATCGGAATAACAGTACTGTAGTTGCAGAGTTGTCGCCGTTAACTTTGATTTGACGGCCGCAAATTTTCGTTTTACTGTCTCTGCTAAGCGTCGCCAGTAAAACTGCATTTGCGACCATCAAATCGCCAATTGACGGTGGCAACTTTTCAACTACAGTACTGTTATTCCTTAAGTTAACTTCATAGAACTGATTTTTAATTTATTAAAGTATGTGAAAGATTTTCATATTACAGGTCTTCATAACCACAGTACTTATTTTATATATGAACAATACATGTACAGCTGGTCATTTGTGTTCCTGACCATCTTCTGTTTCGTCTATCCTCATGTATAGGAGCATGCATATAAAAAAGAAGATGTGGTGTGATTGCCAATGAGACAACTCTTCACAAGAGACCAAATGACACAGAAATTGACAACTATAGGTCACCGTACGGCCTTCAACAATGAGCAAAGCCCATACCGAAGAGTCAGCTATAAAAGGCCCCGAAATGACAAATGTAAAACAATTAATTCAAACGAGAAAACTAACGGCCTCATTAATGTACAAAAAAAATCGTAAGGGTTCCGCGGAACCCAGTGTCTCGCCTATACTTTTGCTGTTAATCGCAGGCTCAACAAAAATGAAGAAAAAAATTAATAAAAATATTCCTCTCTATACTATCTTTTGATTGTAAGTAGCTTCTGTCCAAGTTTGGTAAAAATCCAGGATAGTTTATGAATCTAATAAATGTTTTAAAAACTTAAACTGCAGACTGTAAGTAATGTTAACTGGAAGAAAAACTAAGTCCATTTATAAAATACGGAAAAAATGGAACAAAATTTTAACAAAATTTCCTTCTAGATACTAGCTTTTAATCATAAACAAGCTACTGTCCAAGTTTGGTAAAAATCCAGGATAGTTTAAGAAAGTTGTTAAAATTTAAAAAAACGTTAACCACAGAGTGAATGTAATGTAAACTGGCAGAAAAACTAAGACCATTTATAAGTAAAATACGGATAAACTTAAATTTTTTTACAAAATTTACTTCTGGATACTATCTTATGATCATAAACAAGCTTCTGTCCAAGTTTGGTACAAATCCAGGATAGTTTAAGAAAGTTGTTAAAATTTTAAAAACTTTAACCACAGAGTGAATGTAATGTTAACTGGCAGAAAAACTAAGTCCATTTATAAGTAAAATACGGAAAAAATGGATTTTTTTTTTCTAAAATTTACTTTTGAATATTATGTTATGATCATAAACAAGCTTCTGTCCAAGTTTGGTAAAAATCCAGGATAGTTTAAGAAAGTTATTAAAATTTCAAAAACTTTAACCACAGAGTGAATATTTGTGGACGCCGCCCCGACGACGCCAACGGAATGTAGGATCGCTATGTCTCGCTTTTTCGACAAAAGTCGAAGGCTCGACAAAAATGAACAAAAAACAAATACGTAACACAGCAACAAACGACAACCACTGAATTACAGGCTCCTGACTTGGGACAGGCATAAACATACAGAATATGGCGGGGTTAAACATGTTAGCGGGATCCCAACCATCCCCTAACCTGGGACAGTGGTGTAACAGTACAACACAAGAACGAACTATAAAAATCAGTTGTTTGTTTGTTTGGTCAAAGACTCCAAATCAGAACATGGTGTAACAATTGGACAAATCATACATGTAATCTATCTTTCTCCTGCAGGGCTTTATCCTGCATAGTCATACATATTTGTATAATATTTGTTGGTGTCCAGATTGAAATTAATGTAATAAACACGGCTGTTGTACATAATTTTAATAGTCAAAACTGATGTCTTTTCACCCAATTGCTGCATACAAACAATTTACCAAACATGGGGCAATAAAGAAATTTTCATTACTTTTAATGGCAATCAGAATGTTATCCTAAGATTAAAAATATAACATCTTGAAGCACTGAAAGAAAATAAGTGTTTCCTTCAAATCATAGACTTGTACATGTAATACACAAGTATGACCAAAGTTAAACACCTCCCCTTCCGACTGATAGATGTGGGCATAAAAGGTAAGTTAATCACTATTTCCTCTCATTGGTTATGATCAATCCCAAAGTGTTACAAGACAAAATGATTCTTTGAAAAAAGATGCTATCAAAGATGACTAGATACATTATCTATTAAGAAGAGTTCAAATAAAATTTTCCCTAAAAAACGTCAAAAATCTCAATATTGAGCTTTTCACACAAAAAAAACGGGACGGGCGATATTCGATTTTTTTTCATTAAATGATCGGGTACTCCTCCCTGAAAAAATGATATATCATATTGGTTTAATATCACTAAGAAAAAAATCCAGGTATCATGCAAACCTTACCTTAACTGTATCATATGCCCTTAACGTTTGTCTTGAATATAATACATCGAATATTTGCCACCAGGTGTTTACGCAAAAATGAATTCTGCAATTGAAATTTAACTAAAACATGTACAATTTTCTATTATCAAAATAGTCTACAACAGCAATTTCAATCGTTGGAATTTTAATGTTATATGCATATGATATGGACATTTGGGGAAATTATTGCTTAATACGAAAATTCCACTTGGTTTTAACTATTTTCTGTAATTACTTCAGTGACTGAGCGGGACAAATTCAGTGGAAATACTACTGCATAGTTTAATAATAAAACTCCGTGTCAAAATAGAATCGCCATGATGAAATTCAAGTTTTCACTGTTTTTTTATGATTGTGATCAATTCTATATAGTACGGCGGTCGGGCAGACGGGGTATCGGTCGGCACATAGAATATCTATGTAAAGTTTGATTTTTACGATAAGTCCGGGTTTGCCGTGGTTTGGCAGTCTGTTGTTTTGAAAGAATTGATAACAGATGTAATTATGATAAGTGGTCATTGGTAATTTTCGTGAATTTAAAGAAAATGCATGTTTTCAAACGTTTGTATATGATTCATAATGTTTAATGTTAACTTGTTTTAGATGACCGTTGTTCGGAATAGAGATTCATTTGAAAGAGTTTGTACATATGACACAATTCTTCGTCTTTTTTTCAATGGGAATTCCTTCAGGTACTGTAACTTCCGAAAAATGGAAGTTAATGTACGGTATGACGTCACTGAGCGGAAGTTGTAGTACAGGCGGGCTCCTCCCCTTAAACATCTTTACGATTTGTAGAACAGATATTTACATAGGCAAACACATTAAACCATGACACAAGTCTTTAATATGAAAGTTTTACCACAAGTATCACATAAACTTGCTTATACATGTAGTATCTAAAACATATCAAACCATAGAAACTTGATATTGTCCAATAAACTAATATTTTAAACATAGCTTCCCCTGTCAAATTCTCTCTATCTACAGCTTTGTCAATAGAACAAACATAACTTGCATTTTACCCCTATGTTCTTATATTAATTTAGCCATGTCTGTCATTTTTGTTGGCAGGTCGGATAATCGGACACAAAAACCAGGCTTAATCCACCATTGTCTACATAAGGAAATGCCAGTACCTAGTCAGGAATGTGGGACAGTTGTTTACCATTCGTTTGATGTGTTTAAGCTTTTGATTTGCCATTTGATTAGGGATTTTCCGTTTTAAATTTTCCTTGTAGTTCGGTATTTTTGTTGTTTTACTTTTTATACTACACCCCCTTATGATGACTTTGTTTTTATTTTCCCCTGAACCACTCTAAACTACCTGACTATATATAAAAATGTACCTTAAAGAGAAATTGGTATGTTCCACTGACATCTGTACACAGTAAAATATATACACATGTACAATGTACATGTATGTATCTAAAAAAATGTCAAAAAGGTATACAATTTATAAATATTTTTCAACTTTAAATTATTTTTATGCTCCCCCCTTTTTTGTGTTGACCCTTTTTTATTTTGTACAACTTTTTATATTCGGAGCCAAATAGGACCCTTATCCAACTTACTCTTGGCATCTAAAAGAGTATTTACTTTTTACTTCACCTCTTTTGTTGGAGTCTTTGTTAGATTAATTTTTATGTTTGTTTGAATATTTTAGTTTTGTGTTGTATGTCTGTGATGTATGTTTACACAGTTTTGACTGCTGGATCCCAATTATTGTCACATTAACTTATTATGTCTGTTTGGGTTGTGTAACCAATTTTGTCAATATAACGGAACAATAAACAACTGTCATACCAGAGGGAGATTAAGCTAGCTATAAAACCAGGTTTAACCCACCATTTTCTTCAGAACAAAGTTAGGAATATGGCAGATTTTTTTTTCACTTGTACTGTTGATTGAAAGCATTTGATTCTGTAAATTTTTATGGAATTCCCCTTTTTGAATTTGCCTTGGAGTATTTTTGTGATACTTTTTTACTCCTTTCACTAAATACAAGATAAAATATACTGTGTCAGAGTTTCATACAACAGTCTGCATTTCTGACATGACTGGACAATGACACAGACAAGGTCAGTGCAGAACAAGAGATATAAATAAACAAGAGCTTGACATATGTTACCAACACTTGTCTTTTGTTGATAAATGTATGTTGACCTCTTCTCTTTTCTAATTTAATTGTGCAAGTCTCAACCACTAACTTTTCCTGCTATTCATATTAAAATACAAAAGTAAGACTTTTCACATTTCAACATTTAATTTGATATTTCTACTTTCTGTTTAGTTATTACAACTGTCTTTTACTTAAGTACGCATAACTGCATATATCTTGTAAATGAAGACTAGCAAAAAAGGTATGGACAGATTTCATGGAATGATCAGACTCATAAAAACCTGATATATTTCTGGCTTAAAGTATACATCTCAATCAAGCATAAAAGGGACAATCACTTGAAGTTATAGTTTATAATGCCAATCTCAAATTCTAAGTTTAATTAATTAAAAAAGTATACATTCAGTACATCTTAAACTTGTTTGCATCATCTATACACAAAAAATTTAAAAAGAAATACTTATTATTTGTGAAATATTTATCTGAATTGTAATTGGTTCTCTTGCCTATGAATAATGATCAGGGTTACTGGAAAAACAATTGGCCTGCATTTTTAATTTTGTCTTTTTTTTTACCCCTTTAACTGTTTTGCATTAAATTGTTGTCACAATATACATAAGATGGTCTGGATGAAGTTTACAGAATATAGAATAATAGACCAATATTGCAGATAAATGGAACAAAAATAAAGTATAGAGAACATAGGCCAAAAAAATCAAAATAGAGAACAATGGGCAAAAATTATTAACAATAGAGAAATATTAACTAATGCATTAAAGAATACAGAAATGCCCCATCCAGACCCTTAAATGAGTTAATATATAGTTTTAGTTCACTCTGACACAAAAATTGTATTCTGTAAAGTGTCTTAAGTCAATGTTTTTCATATTTTCAAAATATTGGTACATTTTTCATTGAACATTTAAAAGTTTCTTCATAAGTTTTAACATTTTTATCATCATATACATGAATACACATACTGCCTGCAATAACTAAAATAACTTACATATATTTGTATGAAAATGATGAAAAACATAAATTCAATATACTGTAGATTCTTAATCATATGTTGTTTTATTTTTCTGTTTCAGTTATGAATATTTAATCTGACTCTGATAAATGAATATATATAAATAATAATAAGTTATAATACATTTATCATAAAAAAATAGAGCAAAACTTCTAAACTCTATAAACGTTAATAAATAAACTGACTAGTCTATCCATCTGAACACTAGTTTTAAGTATTATTATTGTAGCACTTTTATGTATAAACTTCTATATCATATGCTGTTCTTTTTATTAGTTCTAAACATAATTATTTCTAAAGAGGAAATAACAAATCATGCACTCTATTTAGCATTCATATTCTGAAGCATCCTGGGTAATATTTTCAAAAAAAATTGTAAAGGTTTCCACGGAACCTGTTGTTTCACTTGCAATTGCTGCTGTCAGTGTACAATTGTAATGTTAATTGCCAAAAAACTAAGTAGATTTATAAGTAAAATACAGGAATAATTCCATCAAATGTTGACCAAGTTATTGATATCTAACAAAAGTTTATTACTGAACCTAAATGTTGATACTGACACCAATGCAGACGACAGAGTGTAGGATCACTAGGTCTCTATTCTGCGACAAAATGTTGCAGACCAGACAAAATGTTAATCAAAAACTTGTACATGTTGTAAAAGGTTATCAGTATCCTAAACAATGGATTTTTTTTTAACCTGAAACCCTTCCTGCTTGAGCTATTTCATAGAGGCTCAATATACATTCCCCATGACATGCTCAAATTAAAAACAAATATCCCAAGATATCAATTCCAAAACAAAAACAAATGCATAACCCTTTTTGAAAAAAAACATAGTTTGGGGGGGGGGGGGGGGGGGTCAGTTTTAACATACAAATTTGGCGACAGACTTTGGCTGGGGTTAAAATTGCACTCCATTGATGTATCTGACATTCCAAAAATGTGACCCATACCTTTATATAAGAAGAGCTGACTACACCCCTTCCCCACTGTGGAAAAAACATACTTTATAATTTTTGAATAACATTATTTATAAAACACAACAATTACTCCAACAAATGAATACATATTTCAGATTTTTTTCTAGAATTAAAAAATGATACAAAAAAAGAAATGGAAAAAATAAAATAAAATTATTGAAAAATAACAATGAAAAAACAACAAACAACAATACCTGATATCTAAATTGCACAATGATCATATTTACTGGCTTACAATGAAAATACCCAGAATGCAATGTAACATTCAAACAAAGCAACAAAGTACCCATAACTATGTGTTAACATTCAGATCATCAATAAAACTTTAAGATTACAATAATTACATTTATGCTTAGCAACAAGATGCTAATATTCAAAGCTTACTTTCATAGAAAGTAACCAATTACACTAAACCCAATTCCAACATCTACACAAAGCAATTCAAAAACACTTGTTTTAATACATACAGTTAACATTTATTCACAGCACAAACAAGATAGTTATCTCATTATTTACAAACTCTTAATAAATAAGTCACATAATTTTAGATAGCTTTGATATATCCATTGGCATATCATGTTAAATTCATAGACTTTTTAGAGCTAATTTCCTAATGCATGCAGAGCAAGGGTTTGGTTAGCTTGCTTGCTTTGTTTGTATATTGTACAATTGTAATTGGGATAACGTCCAATCAAATTTAAATATAATATATACAGGTTTAACTTTGCCTATATATATTGTCTGAAGATGTCAATCTTAATTACAAAGCTTGGGTAAACGTTTATACAAATAAAGCAAGCAAGCCAACCAAAGTTTTTCTTTACAAGCATTAGGAAATTAGATCTAATCTCATTTGGTAAAAGTATTTTATAAGACAATATAAGTCTTATTGATTTTGAGGTCAAGGTGAGAATTAAAACTCAGAGATTGAGTTTAATATCCTTTGCAATGTGTTGAAGTAACAACCTATATCCTTATGAAAGAGATGAGTATAGATCAAGAGGACATTAGTGAACTTGTAAAGAGTTCCATAGAACCCTGTGTCTCACCTGGGATTGCTGCTGTCAGTATAAAAGTGTAATGTTGACTGCCAAAAACTAGGTGAATTTATTGATATATACCAGTAAATAAGGATAAATATAAAAAAAACGTTCAATTTGTTTTACAGATGCTATTTTTTATTAAGAAAAGCTTCTGTCCAAGTAAAGTAACACACTCTAATCTAATCTTTTTTTTTATCACGTTTCATAACATTCCATAAAATTTTCATAAAGCCATTGATGTTTAAAAAATCCTCAGCCACAGACTGAAAATAAATATTGACGAAAACTAACAGAATTGCTATATACCCTTTCCTTTGCAAGGCTCTACAAAAATCTGTATTGGAAGTAGGAGTGCTTTTTAAAAACTAAGAACAAATTTCTTTTCTTTTTATTTTTACCAGAATTTCCCGTAAAATTTTATTTTTTTAACAGGAATATAATACAGTACGTGACAAACAGGGAAATTAACAGTTTTCACAGGGTGTACAAGACTTTCAATGTTACAGGGTGTACAAGTTTATAGATGAAAATGTAAATATTAACATTGTTCACAGGGTTTTAAAGTTTCAAGACTTACATTTTCCATACGGTGTACAAGAGTTAAGATGTACATTGTTCACAGGGAAACCAAATGCCATGACTAACATTTTCCCAAGGAGTACAAAAGTTAAGAGGTATATTGTTCACAGGGAATACAAATGCCAAGACTCGCATTCCTTCAGATGTGTTAAATACTATTGCAGAGAAATATTAATTATTTAAATCATAAGAAATGTCAATGAATTTTAATGTTAACGTTTTTATATAAATGAATACTATTCATTGTATTATGCATCAACAATTCATATCTGAGACAGATAAATGTCTTTAAACGTGATGACTTTAAGCTTAAATGCTATCTATTGCTTACAGCTTAAAATACATTTTCTATTACTGATACATGGTTATGTAACTAGCTTTCATACTATATGAAATTGCACCATTAAATGTTATGATGAAATGACATGGCGTGACCCTTAATTATTTCAAATTTGTCATTCTGTGATAAGAAACATTTAAACATTTTCAACACTTAGAGTCATACAAATAGGAACTTCAAAACTCATGTGGTCAGAGCAATGAACAAAAGAGGGATGACTATAGTATGAAGTTTTTGGTCAATAGTATGAAGTCTATATGTTGAGTTTCATTCCATTTTTTTTGTTAACTGTGTGATGTTTGGTTTGGCAACTTGTTCAATGGACTGAGACTTGAGGATTGATTGATTGATTGATCAATTGATGGTGTTTAACGCCACTTTCAGCACTGTTGTGCTATTTTGTGACGGTCATTTTTTTTTACTTGTGGAGGAAGCCGGAGTCCCCAGAGAGAATCACAAAACTTCAGTAGCAAAACTGACAATCCTAGTCAATTATGATTGGAGTCAAGCGCACCTGCCACTTGCCAGATGCAAACTCACAACCTCAGTGTTGACGGGCTAGTGACACATATACAGTAGTTCGACTACTTAGATCACTCGATCACCGAGGCCCACGAGAGAGAAAGGACAAATCACTATAGCTACTCACATAAGAAGATATAAATAGTTCTTGATTTTGAAACTACACAAACAAGTTATAGACATTTTATAAAGAGTCTCTCAATGCGGACATATAAGACAGGTGATTTATAATCAATTTTTTCAATGTTTTTTTAAGGAATATTATGCATTTAAAAATATTTAAAATATAACATACCATTAAGAGCAATGTGTTTACCCTGGCAAACAATATAAAAATATATCTGTATGATATACTGTACTATACTGATACACCTTATCGCTATTCCCGCTTGACCCGAGAATCTGTCCCGCTTGAACTTTTGACGTCATACAACAATCACTTTTCCATTGTGGCGTCAGATATTTTCTATTATCATGATTATGACGTCAACATTTTACGGGAACTTTTGTGATGTCCAGTAATGGCGGACAAATAGCGATAAGGTGTATTAGAAAAAGCACAATTACTATGACAATACTAAAAAATGTTCTCATGTAGTACCAATTGTTACAGATTCTTTGATTTAATTTTTCTACCAAATAGAAATAAATGTTTCCATCAATTTGTTTGTGCAAGATCTGAAGTCACAACACAATGACCTGCGTGGATGTATTTTTTTCTCTCCACAAATTACAAAACTTGTTGTTCACAAATATTAGTACTTGATAATATTATAATTCATTGTCATAACATTGAAGAAAAACTTACTTCTAAGAAAGTGAAAAATATGACAAGTAATAGATGGTATTTAACAAATACATGTAAGTTACAATAAGATATGAATGAAAATCACAACGTAATGTATTAAATCACTGACAATGTGTACAAAATAAGAACTAAGACAATAGATTGGCTGACATAAAAATGGCGGGAAGAATCTCATTGGGCAAGAGACAGCTACATTAAAAGCGTCAAATCAATTGATTGATTGATTGTTGGTGTTTTAGTGCCACTTTGATCACTATTGGCTATATCATGGCGGTCAGAGGAAGAAGCCGCAATGCCAGGAGAGAACCACAACCTTCAGCAGGAAAACCGAAAATTCTAGTCAATAAGGATTGGAGTACAAAGGACCTGCTATGTGCAGGGTTCAAACTCACAACCTCAGTGTTGATAAACTAGTGATACAGTAAATCAATCTCTCAGACCATTCTGCCACTGAGGCCACCTCAAACCATATTGAAGAAATAAATAAATTTTAAAATTCTGATTTCATTATCCTCCTGTTTTAAAATTGCATTGATTGTGAGCTAACAACTGAATATTCTTTAATATCTTCATCAAAGTCTAACTTGGGAAGTAATTAATTTTCCCTTTTCCAACTGTGTTCCTATTTCAGAATTTTTTGCAAAGGGAAACATGGTAGGATTAAATGTATCCCTGCCTATACAGAGCAAGTGGAATGAAGAGAGAGAGTTGTCTGATTATTCAGTGTTGTCCTGGAATATCAACTTAATAAATGGAGGATCCAATAATGGCGTCGCACAGAATGGACAAACTGTCTGGAAACCTTGACAACCATGAGGGACAGGAACTTGTGACCAGTATCTGAAACAAACACAATAAATACATAATCAATGTTTACCTCAAGACATTTTTGGATAGCAGCCTAGAAACTAAATGAATATTTTTTGTGTATCAAACTTATGAATTGTGCTTGGTATATTTATCACTATTCCTTGCTTCTTTTTTTGTGTGACATATTTATATAATTAAGTATCATTCATAAAAAGGGATTTTTTAGGCAGGAAATGAATATAGAAGATTTTTGTTAAATAACTTTGCAGGAGAACTGTATGAATGAGCAAATAATTCTGGTGAACATGGGACACAGATGATGCCCTCGCTTGCATATTACGTTATAAAGGGGCATCACTCGAGAACGGTAAAAGTAAAGCCACTCAAATTTGAACTTGATCTGTGTGTTGTGGAAATATTAAAGCATTGTGTACAAGTTTCGTAACATTTTTGGGATGTACGTACAGACAGAGGGACAAGGGAACACTTAATGCCCATCTGGTGACAGCAATAACTACACTGAAGTCCCTGTTCACTGTTATTGGGCTGGTTAACTTTTTGGACTGAAGAAGGTATAAGACTGCGCTAATCATTGAACAGCAGTATAAAATTGACAGCGATAGTTTTTGGACTGCAGTAGTAATACCACTTGGGTAATTTTTGGACTGCAGTAGTAATATCACTAAGGTAATTTTTGGAGTGCAGTAGTAATATGACCTGTAATTTTTGGACTGCAGTAGTAATACCACTTGGGTAATTTTTGGACTGCAGTAGTAATATCACTTGGGTAATTTTTGGACTGCAGTAGTAATATCACTTTGGTAATTTTTGGACTGCAGTAGTAATATCACTTAGGTAATTTTTGGACTGCAGTAGTGGTAATTTTTGGACTGCAGTAGTAATATCACTTAGGTAATTTTTGGACTGCAGTAGTAATATCACTAGGGTAATTTTTGGACTGCAGTAGAAATCTAACTAAGGTAGTTATACTTATGTGTTAATTGGATAGGGGTAGCTGTTTGAATGCAGTGGGTTTAAACTGCAATAGTCATAAGACTGTGGTAATTACTGAACTGTGTATATGCACAGTACAAGGGTAACATAATATATAATCTGTCAATGGAGATGTATGTGTATTTCAGCAGTGAACATTCTCATGTGTTGTTTTTAAATTCAGCATATCATTTTTATTTGATAGTCAATTAGAGAGTTCATCAGAGATTATGTCTCGTTGTTATTGTGTATATATATATATGCAGACTTTAAATAAAATTTACTTTCTCACTCCAATGTATCTCAATTACTGATTTATATATCAAGACCGTTTGGTCAGTATCTTTTCAATCTATTTACTTACTTTGCAGTGTTTTTAGATGACATGTGACCACATGGATTAAAGCAATGAGTAGGAAGGTCAGAATCTACATACACACTTAGTTCACATCCCATCTTTAATTTTATAAATGGACCATCCTACAATAGTAATTACAGATTACATGACATCATCAATGGAAAATCCTGAAATTACATTCCAAAAAAATTGTAAAGGGTTCCTGTGTCTTGCCTATGATTGCTACTGTTAGTGTCAAAGTGTAATGTTGATTGTGAAAAACTCTCTTTTTTTTCAATTTAGATGCCATTTCTTGATCTTGAAGAAACTTCTGTTTCAAGTTTATTAAAATTCCATGAAGGTATGACAAAATTATTAATATCTGAAAAACTTTAACCTTAGACTGTAATTCAATGGAAACTGTAAATAATATAAGTCCATTTATCTGCAAAATACCAAAAAATGAAGAAGATATTCAATAGAAAATTCTGGATACTTTCTTTTGATCATAAAAAAGCTTTTGTCCGGGTTTCATAAAATTTCATGTAGGTTTTACAAAGTTACTGATGCCTAAAAATATTTCAACACAAGACTGAATCTAAATGTTGACATCGCAGACCTAGATGGCTTGAAAAAATTAAACAGACCTGAATTTATACATTTGAAATTTTTATCAACATTAAGATTTTAGCATTAAGACATACAAAACACACAGAGAAAGTCTGTATTCAAAACAGTAGAACCACATATAGAAACATATTAGCAACAGAGATAACTTGCTCAAAGTCTAATTTGTAAATAAAAACATCTCAAAACTGATAGCATACACAAAATTTATATAATCATAAATAATTTAATTTTAGATGTACCACGTCTTCTGGTTGGCTGAAAGTTTTTTGTCTATCAGCTCATAGACTACGTGAGTTATTCAGTGTGCACCACATTTTTGAGGTTATTTCTTCATAGACAGAAAAAATAATACAGTCATTCCTTAAATGACTTCAAAAATAAAATTTGTCAGGAAGAAAATAATTTAAATTTGCAACTCTACTGGCCATGGTTCAGACCTTTTAATAACAGACATTGTTGTTAGAATGTCTAACTTTTCTCTATGCCATTATTTTACATTTGACGACCTACTCCTAGAAACAAATTGAATATATGTAGGAAATTTAATATACACCCTGTATACAACAATACCTTAAATATCTCTTACAAAAACTTGACAGAAGAAATGACTCTATAAGTTTAATTTCTGGTAAAATAGCAACGGGGACAAAAAAGGAGACAATAACAAGGGAGGGAAGTTGAAGAAAGAAACAAATCATTTTACAAGTAAACCATAAACATACCATTAGACAAAGAGGACAGGTCCTACTATCATCTTTCTGTCCCCATTCATGTTGGCCATGGACATGACCACATTTGAGATAAACATATGGTTGTTTATCTGCAGCACCCAATGTTCCTTTACTTGGTAAAACAAGAGTCATTAAACCTACAGGACACTGAGGACGGCCAGCGTTTATAGTCTCCACTAGGTTTTCAAACTCGTGTTCGCTCTGAAAAAAGTATAAAATTGTAAATACATCTACAAAAAGTATGTACGGCCTTGACAAGGTTTTCAAAATCAATTTTCATTTAATTTAAAAACACACTTCCAATTTAATAATTTCTATATTGTTAAAATATAGCAGTGTTTCCTACAGGAGGTCTTGGCAGTATTTTACATGTTGCTGCACTCACTTGACAACCTGCCCTTTTTGATAGACAATGATGGTGCTATGCCCCTTTTTGTTTTCTAAGGGGACTATGATTAATCTTCTACTATGACTATTAAAGTTATCTATAATGCAAAACCACTTCATTTAAAACCTTATAAGCAAAAAGACACGGTGGACTACACATACAAATACAGGTTTTATCACAATGTAGACCAATAATTTTACCTGTTCCATTAGTCCCTGCATTTGACATTAACATACAGATTTATCATACAGGTGGACATCACTGTAGACGTTCAAAATTATGGTCATGCTTCAGTTGTTGATTCAGAAATACTTTTTAAAGATAAACTGTCATAAAAATACTAACCGGTGATGCAACCAACCCCATGGCAGATCTCCAGAGTAATGTAGCTCCACAAAGATCAATGAGAGTACCGTCATATAATATATTATCTTCTTCAGTAATCTATTAACAGTTATACATAGCTATGTAATTCAAATCTTAATAGCAATGGTATATGCATACTTGCATAAATTCTGTGTGGATGCATTTATTAAAATTTACAGTATTTACGACTTCTTACAATTTTCAGTACAGCAGCAAAAACAGCTACGGGGTTGAAGGAGATGTGATACAGAAAGACTTTTCCATTTTATAAGCACACTGAGAACTACTTTTGTTTATATCTTTGTGTTGTTGTTATATGAAGAACAAGATGTTCATGAAAGATTTTGGATTGTTTCTGTTAAGGATGTTCGCTTGTCATGTTTTTGAATTTTTGTCAGATTTTCGGAATCCTCTGATTTTATCCATTTGAATGCCTTAAAAAATTTTGCCCGCTTACCCCTACTTTTCTTTTCATAACTATATTACATATAGTTTAAACAAGAGTGGACACACTGAAATGTCTCGCCTGTTTTAGTGTTCATAATTGAATTTATGTTGAAAGTAAAAAAAATAAGTTTATATAAGCTTTACATTAAATTAACATTTTAATGATGAATGAACATGAAGTCAAGGTGAGATAAACCCTATCAGACAAACATGTAGGCCGTACAATCATTCCATACACCAAATTTATTTAACATATATTGCCTAAAGTATCTTAGAAACAAACCGCATTGAGGAAACTGAACTTTGACCAATGAACCATAAAATGAGGTCAAGGTAAGATGACACCTGTCAGACAGACATATACACATAACATTCATTCCATACAGAAAATTTTATGAACTTATCACTTATCTGCCAGTTGGAAATGTGAACCTTACGATCATTCTATACACCAAATATAGAAGACCTATTGGTGATAGAATTTGAGATATGGACTTTATCATGAAAACTAAATCTTGTTCACTGATCCATTAAATGATGTCAAGGTCAAATGAAATATGTCTGACAGATATGTGAACCATGCAAGGTACGCACATGCCAAATAAAGTTATCATTTTACTCATAATAATTGAGAAAATCACATTACAAAAACCATACAGTTTTTTTTCCAAGTAGTTGCTGGACCAAGAAAATGAGGTCAAGGACAATGGACATATGACTGACAGAAACTTTGTCACATAAGGCATTAGAAATATTAAGCTGTAAGTAATGAGATAATGACGCTGCTGCTGCCGATGCCCCTGCCAACGCTGCTGCTGCCGCCCCTGCCACCGCCCCTGCCACCGCCCCTGCCGAAGATCACTATCATAGTGTCTTCATACTACTTTTGGCTAATAAATCACAGGCAAATATAGTAACAACATTTGAGTAAATAAAATCTCATTATACAAATTTTTTTTTTGAAACATTAAGTCAAATGACTACTAAAAGCAAACTTTGAAATTTCTTATGAAATAATTTTTCATCTAGATTTAAGGTTCATCAGAAGGGATTGACAAATATGGCCATTTTTTTTTTATTTCCTCTTGAGTACAGACAAACCTGTGCACAAGGAAAAGTTTTAAGGCATTGCAGAAACTGGATAAATATTTGTCAATTCCTTGAGATGAACCTGAAAGACCCCCCCACCCCAAAAAAAAAAAAACCTAAAATTATCTTCAATCTTTGATCAAAATATTGTAAAAAGTCATATTTTCATATTATCTATTTATCTATTTATGTTGCTATGCTAAAATATTTTTTACTTATCTCAATACTTATCTTATTTCATATGTATCAAAAATCAGTAAATGTGATTCTGTTGTGCAAACAAAATTTCAAAAGTTCTTCAATCTGTACATATTCAGCCAATTAATCTTTATGAAGGGACTGGAGTGAACTGTATTCTATGTTAAACATTCATGCATGAGTGACCTTATTTTAACATTTTCACACCTTCCAATGTTTTTGTTAATCACGGTTTAGTAATGATCCCTTAAAAGTTTTTATTATTTATTTTCATTATTAGTGTTATTTAAAGATTTTTATAAAATAATCTATTTCAATGTAAGTAATCAGCAGTTAAATAATAAAATACATTCCATACACCAAATATAGTTGACCTATTACTTATAGCATCTGAGAAGAAGACCAAACAACAGAAACTTAACATTGACCAATGAACCATGAAAATAAGCTCAAGGTCAGATGAAACCTATCAGACAGACGTGCACACCTTACAATCATTCCATACACCACATATAGTTGACCTATAACCTATAGTATCTGAGGAGAGGACCAAACAAGAGCAACTTAACATTGACCAATGAACCATGAAAATGAGGTCAAGGACAAATGACACCTGCCAGACAGACATGTACACCTTACAATCATTCCATACACCAAATATAGTTGACCTATTGCTTATAGTATTAGAAAAACAGACCAAAACACAAAAACTTAACAATGACCAATGAACCATGAAAATGAGGTCAAGGACAAATGACACCTGCCAGTCAGACATGTACACCTTACAATCATTCCATACACCAAATATAGTTGACCTATTGCTTATAGTATTAGAAAAACAGACCAAAACACAAAAACTTAACATTGACCAATGAACCATGAAAATAGGTCAAGGACAAATGACACCTGCCAGACAGACATGTACACCTTACAATCATTCCATACACCAAATATAGTTGACCAATGGCTTATAGTATTAGAAAAACAGACCAAAACACAAAAACTTAACATTGACCAATGAACCGTGAAAATGAGGTCAAGGTCAGATGAAACCTGCCAGACTGACATGTATCCCTTATAATCATTCCATACACCACATATAGCTGACCTACTGCTTGTAGTATCTGAGAAACGGACCTAATCACGTAACTTTAACCTTGATCACTGATCCATGAAATGAGGCTGAGGTCAGGTGAACCCTGTCTGATGGACATGTAGACGTTGCAAGGAACCCATATACCAAATATAGTTATCCTATTACTCATAATAAGTGAGAAATTTACATAACAAAAAAACTAAACTTTTTTTTCAAGCAGTTGCTGAACCATGAAAATAAGGTCAAGGACATTGGACATATGACAGACGGAAAGTTCGTAACATAAGGTATCTGCATACAAAGTATGAAGCATCCAGGTCTTCTACCTTCTGAAATATAAAGCTTTATACAAATAGTTTACGCCGCCGTCGTCGCCGCCGCCGCCGGATAGTACTACCTATGTCTCACTTTCTGCGACTTTCGTCGCAGGCGAGACAAAAACCATATTTGAAAATCCTATAAAATCCTTGTTATTTTTTCATAATTTTCAAAAGGAAAAGGGTGCCAATGTTAAATGTATGAAAAGTCTAGAGAGAATTACATCCCGCCAAATTTTCAATGGCTTATATCTCGAAAAACAAGCACACAGACCCTTAATTTTTTTCTACTTTTTTAATTCCTTTATTTATATACTATCAATTTATAACAGTCTTTTAAAAAGCTTGTTATTTTAATACAGAGTAGCAAACATCCTTAAGTTTATTTCACTCTGGATGATTTAGAGTTTGTATAGATATTGCTCTATTGTTGAAGCTTTTCACTCTGGATGATTTAGAGTTTGTATAGATATTGCTCTATTGTTGAAGACTGTGTTGGTCTGTAAAGATGTTTGTTTCTGTCTCACATCTTTTATTCATGCCTTTTGATTGAATATACTTGTGTGCATAAAGGTCATTCACTATCATTTGGCTCTTGCAAAAAAAAATTTAAATTTATTTATCATTCCAAAAATCAATTCATTTTACTATTTTCCAAGCAATTACCCATTGTTTAATCTCCTTGCTAAACAATTAAACACAATTTTTTCATGTACTGTCTTTTGGTCATAAAAATGCTCCTGTTCAAATTTCAGAAATTGCATGAAGGTTTGACAAAGTTATTGATGTCTAAAAAAAACTTTAACCATAGACTATAACATAAACATTGACGCTGCCAACAAAGACAGAATGAAGTATCGCGATATCATATTTCCACTACATAAATGTTGTAGGCATGACAAAAAAGTTCTCATCCTCTTCAAATACTTAAATTTTAAAATACCAAATAATTTGTAATTTTTTTTTATTTGATAACAATACTGATCTAAAATTTTCCCAAAAAATATTATTCATTCTAACTTGTTTGTGTGCGTCTGCAACTAGTTTTATTCATTACTCTTGATGAAGAGTGTCAATTTCTAACCTGATTACTCTTTAAAGGAGCCGATCTTGACTCTCTGAGTGGATACACAGCACCACCAACAGATATCTCCCTCCACACACCAGGGGAGGCAATGGCATTAAACCCACCATGAGGCTTCATAATAAATACACCATTTGTTGTTAAGCCGTCTATCTGTTCTCCCAAGTACCACTTTACTGCTTTTTCCTGAAATTGAGTATGATGAGTACATTAGGGCTATTCAAATATTTATTGGATGGAGAGTATGGGTGGAATTAAAAATTCATTAAATATGAGTGCTTGCACTTTCCTTAGAATTTTGTAAGAATTATTATTTTAAATGAAATCTTCTAAGGCCAAACTTTTTTTCAGTTTTATATATTGTATTTTTTGTTCCTTATTCTAATCTTACTTATAATCAAATTTACGTGAGATTGTCTAAAATTTGTAGCAGTGATATCTTTAACTTACAAGTGTTAGATATTCAAGGTCTTTTTACATGATCCCACCAAAGTGATATCTTTAACTTACAAGTGTTAGATATTCAAGGTCTTTTTACATGATCCCACCAAAGTGATATCTTTAACTTACAAGTGTTAGATATTCAAGGTCTTTTTACATGATCCCACCAAAGTGATATCTTTAACTTACAAGTGTTAGATATTCAAGGTCTTTTTACATGATCCCACCAAAGTGATATCTTTAACTTACAAGTGTTAGATATTCAAGGTCTTTTTACATGATCCCATCAAACTGATATCTTTAACTTACACGTGTTAGATATTCAAGGTCTTTTTACATGATCCCACCAAAGTGATATCTTTAACTTACAAGTGTTAGATATTCAAGGTCTTTTTACATGATCCCATCAAACTGATATCTTTAACTTACAAGTGTTAGATATTCAAGGTCTTTTTACATGATCCCACCAAAGTGATATCTTTAACTTACAAGTGTTAGATATTCAAGGTCTTTTTACATGATCCCACCAAAGTGATATCTTTAACTTACAAGTGTTAGATATTCAAGGTCTTTTTACATGATCCCACCAAAGTGATATCTTTAACTTAAAAGTGTTAGATATTCAAGGTCATTTTACATGATCCCCCCAGGCTCTACTCTGGCAAATACAGAACTTATTAACCTTGTAGAAGCCATAACATCAGCTGGGGCAACAGAATATTAATGTATGTGTATAGATTATCTGATGGTACACATTGATATATTACAATATCTATCCATAGAAAACCCAATAATCTGTTTATCGTTCTATCACTGGTCATTTCCCCTACCTTAGTTATATGCTTGAAGAAAGTAAGCTTGATAACATCTCATTCTGACATTGCTGATAACTTCTACTCAGATATTGTGATGTCGCTCAAAATTTCTGTTCAAATCAATGCTGTGTTACAAGAATTACGGAGCAACTGATCAGCCTGATATAGGCAAAGGGAAGGATGATAGTACAGATTTCCATGCTCACAACAACTTTTCATAGAAAAGTACTCGACCTAATATGATTCAGAAGTAAACCTACCCCTAAGAAAATATTTTTGCCAGAATCGAACCCTGCAGCATAGATTCTAGCAGTGTATGGTGGATCTCTATCAACTACAATTCTACAAGAAAACCGTGATATTGTACTCTGTGTTATATTATCTGTAGCCAGCCTCTCATTTCCAGGAATGGTATCCATGACAACAAAATCAATCGGTGTTTCTGATGATCTTCCAATCTGCAAAAGAAATATATAGTCCAGGTTAGTATCAATAATAATCATAAAGTGACCAAAACATTACATACTTTTATTCAATGTGTTTATTCTCTGATTATCAGTCAGGGGAATTACTTAAATGAGTGATTTTGTCCAGAAATGTTGGAAGTATGAGTTGTCTTTCTTTAATAATCACATATTTAAGTAGTACAAATAAATCACTAGACTAAGTGATTTAATTTTATTGTAGCTTTAAATATATAATACTAATGATCCAAGGACTAATTATGTTGCTAAAATGATCAGAACCAACATCTGTGTTTATAGGATGACCGGTCATGTACAGATGAATTATTGCATCAAAGGCATAAATCTTGCTACTTAAAAGAAGAAAAAGGTTCATTTTATTCAATTTTACTAATTAGATATAATCTAAACCTGTATGTTTAAAATTTTGGTAAAATTACAAAATCACAGAATTTATAATTTGCTACTTAAATGAGTGATTTACTTATTTCAGTAGTTCCCCTGACTGATTATAAAGAAAGAAAAGTTATTTTAGTTTTTAGAAAATTTATAAAATACATTAATTACAACTTAATAAAACTGTTTTGGTCTATTTTAAGCCTCACCTAGGGCATTATGTTTTTCCGTCTGTGCGTGCGTTCCTCCGTTTGTCCGTCTGTTTGCCGGTCTGTCCCGCTTCAGGTTAAAGTTTTTGGTCAAGGTAGTTTTTGATGAAGTTGAAGTCCAATCAACTTGAAACTTAGTACACATGTTCCCTATGATCTGATCTTTCTAATTTTAATGCCAAATTAGAGTTTTGACCCCAATTTCACGGTCCACTGAACATAGAAAATGATAGTGCGAGTGGGGCATCCGTGTACTATGGACACATTCTTGTTTTAAGTATATTGTGCAATTAGAAGTTGGTCAGGTTAACTAACACAAGATTACAAATTCATGTATTTATTGCAGTGATTTTGCTAGTGCTCGTCATTTTCGTCATTTACGAAACGGTTTTTAAAATGACGAAAGTATTCCAAATCAATTTCGTCACTTAAATTTGGAAAGAGTAAAAATATTTTCGCAAGAAATACTATAATTCTACCTGTCTTATTGTTTCTGACAAGTTTATGACCCTCAACTAATTAACATTTACAACAGGTGTTATAAGTTGTGATTACAGATAATCCGCTTATCGCCATCCGATGTGTCACTAATCCCTTAATTATTTATCAACCTCATAATTGATCATCATAATTATTTTCCCCAGTAAAATCAGTCAGTCGGCATTTCAATTTCAATATTTATCAAACGAGCACAATTTGCAGTTTGTTTGTCGTAGTTTCGTCATTTGAGTTTTCCCTCGGACAGTTCACATTTTTAATACAATATTTCTCAAACGATCACAATTTGCAGTTCGCTTGTCGTAGTTTCGTCAAATGAACGTATTTTCGTCATATTTGATATAACTTTTAATCAAAAACTTTTGACAATTTCTATTAAAAAGATAGAACTTTATTCATATCATTCAGAAATGTTTTCACGAGTCAAACAGGTGCTTCCTTTACAATGAACTGCGCATGCGCGAAAGTATTCTATGAATTTAAAGACACTAAAACGTAAAATACGAAATAATTAAGTAACAAACTAAACGAGAGTGACAAATATAGTTCTTATTTAGCCAATTTAATTTAAAAAATGATAATTTTACTGCCTTTTTTAAACACGAACCAATCCTTAGATGAATCCGGATTCATTCTGAATTTATTATCCACTTGTCACTTCCCGTTTTCATTTCATTTGGAAATCGAAAGTAAACGTGATCTATTCATGATAAATTTACAATTTAAAGTCATTAGAATTGTTCCAATAAGAATTTGTACAAATCCTTGGTTCCAACTTTATAGAATTAATTCTAAATATCGCTTTAAAACGTTTTTAAGGATAATGAGTATGAATAATGCAGTGAAATAGTCCTTACAAGTTCATTTATGCTGTGATTCCTGGTTTAAAAAAAATGGTTCCCAACTTTTGCTGGTTAGGAATGTACCCTAAAACTAACTGAAGTGAAATTGTGAACTAGATTTCTAGATCTTATATCTTAATCTTCGTATTAAAGTGCCACATCAGTCAAATCATGCAGTAACTGCCTAGTATGCCTAAGTCCTTCAAAGTCTGACAAAGATGTATAGATAGTAATATACATCCTAGATCCCTTGCTGCTACCCAAAATAAGGTTGATTTTCATCCCGCACAAAAGTGACTAAAGCCCTCAAAATCCTAGCTTAAACCCTGTATTATTGTAACAAAGTAGTTATTTTAAAGTCTAGTAGAAAACATTCAACTAACCTGAAACATATCTGTATCACCATCATGCTTGTATTCCACTATGACAGCCTGGTTTCTAGACAAGGTGTATGTCACAGAGTGCTGGTGTAAATCTTGTACTGCCTTAAATGTGAAAAAAATATGCATGTTCCAGTTGTTGAGTATGTATATAGCTATTCTACAACTATTTGTACAAGTGATCTTAATTAATGTATGGCTGGTATAATGCACTTTTGCATTTTATTTAGTTAGACATGTTAGACTTTATATAAAAAGAGAATTCAAAATTAAGTGCAACCAAAAGAATATACATTTGGAATAATTACCTCTTCATTTATATATCTCAATTACAACTACAGAAGTGTAAAATGGCTTTGTTTACAAACCAAAAGAAGACAAAGTGTATATAGACACCTACACATTGTTTTAAATCTTGTATGTTGCCCTCTAGATGTCCTTTGAGTATTTTTGTGGTTGTGTTGCTGTTTCACTGGCTCAAACACCACATATTTTATTCATGTTCTTACTAGAATTTCTTTTTATAAAACGTTTCCTCATAAATTTAGCTATGCAATATAAAAATAAAATTCCTGTTTGTTACATATAATTAACCTTTATAAAGTACATACTGTAAATTTAGAAAATTATGTGTGCATTTATTGAGATTGTTGAACTAAGAACAAAATGTGATCTAAATTATTCTCAGGAGGCTACTTTAATACTTAATTGATAGGGGGTGCCGCTGGGGTTCTGTTACACACATAATTTTCTAAAATTTTAGATTTTAAAAATGTATACCTTTTCATATATTGTGTAGGTAAAAATGTAACCGTTTCCCATATTGGTTGGGTTTTGTGTGGTGTGTTTGAAAAGTTGAATACCAGTGTCAAAAGAGCGAAATTTGTGGATAAAAACACAGCCAGGAGGACCAAGAAAATTACAGGGCTTTTCTTATGTTAACAAGTAATGGGAACTTTATTGACCTTTCATATCTTTCTGATAGTTTTCCCCACCTATTCACATATATTCAAGCTGGAAAATGTGACCTATTCCATCGGCACCTTGCACATAGATTCGTATCCCCCCTCCTTTTCAGGAAATACAAATACATGTAATGCTTGTAAAATTTAAAATTAAAATTTTTATTTTGGCTACAAATATTCAGTTGCGATTTTCACAATAATAAAACCATCACAAAAATTTCTGAATTTACAGTACACGGTTGAGGACAGTCTGAAGTCCTAAGTTTTTCTAGATGAATTCTGGCGATAGCTGGTGCTTTAGTCTAACTATGTATATAATCAATATATCTTACATAGGCATGTAAACTTGAGTGATTGATTCACTTAAAGAACCAGCTTGAGTGATCTGTTAACACCATGTGTGTACTTTAATTACCTTAGCGGAATGCGGGTTTTTAACAATATGTTTACGGAATGGTTTGACTCCATTTCCTGTCTGTCTTTTATGCAAGATAAATTTACTCTTTCTTCTTCCTTTGTCACCACTAGGTAAGTGTCCGTTGTACCTAAAATATAAATTTTAAATCAATCATATCAAATTTTCATCAACAGTCCATGAATCTTACAACATATCTCTCAACCAGTCATTACTGGTAAATGTAAATTACGTGTACAGGATTCAGTGAATATCTAATTTTGTTTTTGCATAGGGTATGCTAGTGATTGTGATTCCTCTTATAAAATTTAACTTCTACATCATTTGGTCTCTGGTGGAGAGTTGTCTCATTGACAATCTTATTACATCTTCATATTATACAACAACAGAAAATTTAACGTAAGAGAAAAGCCACTATACTATTCCTTCTGATGATATTAATGAATAGTCTTATTTCACCAAAACTTTTACACCTGCTAAAACCAGAAAAGAAATTGTATTTATTATCTAATTGACAAGTATCAGAATAAATGTGTTTGTCACCTTTTTAAATAAAATCATGGTGAGCCTGTATAAATTAATCACATACTGAAACATTGTTATTCAGTTTTCTATATTTTAGGATTACTGTATTTGTCAATGTTAAAATAAAACATATGTATATATTAATATACATTATTGTCTTATTTTCTTTTTCTTTCCACTTTTTTTTTCAAAAATATAATTGTAACAAAATCATTGTAATCATATGTACCAAATCTAACTTGATTATTCTGCCTGTAATGAGTGTCTTTAATTTCCAATAAACATGATAAAATATTGAACTTAAACATACTTGTCTCATTTACAAATTCTGATGTAATTTGTACTCTCTAAATCCTACACGTCATGCATGTCTAATCATGATAATTAGAATAATTGGTCTTAAATAATTTTCAGTAAAATACAAAACTTTATTCTTTCATACATGTATGCAGAAAGTCTTACTTTTTCCCTAAATCTCCAAAACAGAAATAGTAAAATGATTATTTAATGGGGACTTCAAATTAATTCCACGAGTCTGAAGTGCTTTTCAGAATTTACCTTCATCACTTACAACATGCAGTGGTCATACACTAAATGTCCCAAAGTTATAACTGTAGTGCCATCATGATGGCCTTAAAAAAAAAACTACCCAGTTTGGACTACTTGTTAAATCTGTAGGTTGTTTTAACCTGTTGAACATACAAAGGGAAATTTCATATGGTATTATAATATAAATAATATATTTGTAAATAAAGACCTTACCCTAAGACAACTAACTCTCCATATTTGGTGAAAGATCTAGGGGCTCTTGATGGGGAACTTTGTACAGGTGTTCCTGTATGAACCAGTTTTTCACTTGATATATCAGCAATGGCAGCTGAAATAATATGAACAAAAATCATACATGGATAGGAAAAAAGAAAAGAAAAGGAAAAATACTTAAGTCTGGGAGAATATGATTTATTTATTAGTTGTAATTGGCTTTGAACTAGCTTGCATTATCTGTGAGTACTCTTACTTTAGTACTTTGTGTCAATTTTTTTTATGTTAGTCATGTTAGTTGGTTTTATTACTCGTATCTATTGTGAGTACTCTTACTTTAGTGCTTTGTGTCAAATTGTTTTTATGTTAATTGGTTTTATTCCTCGTATCTGTTGTGAGTACTCTTACTTCAGTGCTTTGTGTCAATTGTTTTTTATTTATTTTATATAAAAAAGAAGATGTGGTATGATTGCCAATTAGACAACTCTCCACAGATGCCACAAGAGACCAAATGACACAGAAATTAACAACTATAGGTCACTGTACGGCCTTCAACAATGAGCAAAGACCATACCGCACAGTCAGCTATAAAAGGCCTGAAATGACAACGTAAAACAATTCAAACGAGAAAACTAACGGCCTATAGGCTAATTTATGTACAAAAAATGAACAAATAACAAATATGTAACACATAAACAAACGACAACCACTGAATTACAGGCTCCTGACTTGGGACAGGCACATACATACAGAATGTGGCAGGTTTTAACATGTTAGCGGGATCCCAACCCTCCCCCTAACCTTGGACAGTGGTGTAACAGTACAACATTAGAACAAACTATAATAAACTGCTTCGCTGAGCGCAGCTGGATACGCCCACAGAGGTCCAACCCTGAACAGTTGGGGCAAAAATGGACACCATATTCAAGCTTGATACAGGTCTGAATTTGGATTGTAATTAAATATTTGACATATTATAAGTTTCTGAATAAATGTAGTCAAAGAACTTGAAATTGGTTATATGAATTGAATTTATATTCAATTAAAAATTTCTTGCTGTTGTGCAATACACTGTGCTGTTGCGCAATACTTAGTAAATCTGTTGTCAGACTATAAACAAATAAAGTTCAATTTCTTCTCAATGTCATATTTGAAATTTATTAAAATCAATAGGGAGATTACATTAATAGCTATAAATAATTCACCAAAGTTTCATGAGAACTGCTGATAGCATTTTTGAGTTATTGTCCAAAAACTGGAAAATCCCCCCTTTTTTAATGAATAAAACCCCATAACTCAGAAACGTAAAATCTAAAATTTATAAAATTCTAAAGGGAGCTTACATCAACAGATATAAACAATTCACCAAAGTTTCATGAGAACTGCTGAAAGCATTTTTTAGTTATTGTCCGAAAACTGGAAAATCCCCCTTTTTTTATGAATAAAACCCTGTAACTCGGAAACGTTAAATCTAAAATTTATAAAAATCCAAAAGGGAGCTCATGTCAATAGATATAAACAATTCACCAAAATTTCTTGCAAGTTGGTGAAAGCATTCTTGAGTTATTGTCGGAAAACTGGAAAATCCCCCCTTTTTTAATGAATAAAACCCCAAAACTAGGAAACGGTAAATCTGAAATTTAAAAAAAACCAAAGGGAGCTCACGTCAATAGATATTAACAATTCACCAAAGTTAAAGCTTTTTTGAGTTAATGTCCGACATGTTGACGACGGACGGACAGACTGACGGACAGACGGTCAACGGTATACCATAATACGTCCCGTAAACGGACGTATAAAAATCAGTTGAAAGGGTATCGGGTCCGTTCGCCCTAATTACATGTTCGCCCTGGGTCCGTTCGACCTGAGTCCATTGGCCCATAGAGTCCGTTCGCCCTAATTTTTATATAAAAAAATAATATTAATGGTTTAATTTAAAGTTTTGTAATCTTATTCAGATATTTAAATGGTAAATATTAAAAATGTATATCTCCAAATTCATGAATAAACATTGAAATTAAAAAAAAAGTTTTTGTTTTGGAGCATTAATCAGGCTAATTGGCTTCATTGTTACATTTGTTTTTATTCAGAATTACTTTTAATGACTGTTGATTGTAAATAAACTCATCATAGATACCAAGATTAAAATTTTGTACGCCAGACACACGTTTAGTCTACCAAAGACTCATGAGTGACTCTCAAATCAAAAAAGTTAATAAGGCCAAATAAAATACGAAGTTGAAGAGCATTGATGACCCAAAATTCCTAAAAGTTTTGCCAAATACAGCTAAGGTAATATATTTCTGAGGTGGAAAAGCTTTAGTATTCCGAAAATTCAAAGTTTTGTAATTTAGAATGCTAATTAGATATGATTACGATGTCTTTGATCTCACTGATTGTTGTAGTTATTGTTTTTGATGGATTAATAATGAAATGGTTTTTTTTAAATAAACAAGTCAGCTTGGAATGAGTTAAACAATGATGTAAGAATTGCATGACTTTAAAGGGAAATTGTTTTCACCGCTTGGCTTCTTTGATCTCAAGGTTTTGAGTGAGTTGGATCTTGTTATACCTTTTTGGATTGTTTTGAAATTGTTACAAGGTTTCAAAAAATATAAATTCAAACAGATAACTTAGACTCTAGTTCCTGAACACTTCTTCTTCTTCAAAATACTGTCCACATTCAACATGATGAATATTCTGGCAAGAATATTCAATGCAAATCAAAAGAAAAAAATTATCTGGTAGCATTAATACAACATAAATATTTCGGCGGAATTTTCAACAAACTTTAACACAATTAATTCAATTAATTTATATTATACAAGACAAAATAAAATAGAAATCAGGGCGAACGGACTCAGTGCGAACAGGAATTAGGGCGAAGGGACCCAGGGCGAACAGGTACTAGGGCGAACGCGAATCAGGCGAACGGACCCGGATTCAGTTGAAAGAGGCTTAACTCATCAGATGGATAAAAATACAAATACTACAAATACAAGTGGACGTGGCCGGGAATCCGGGTCCGTTCGCGCCCAATCACGTTCGCCCCCTGTCAAGTATTTTGCCGCTATTCTTTCACGGACTGTAACTAACGTTACCTTTGTAACGTCAACACGTTTATTACGTTATTGTAGTCATACAAGCAAGTAGAGTCATTAAAAGCAATTAGAACTGTTCACACGTATTCTATTTACACAAGCGAAGTACTAACCAAATAAATCCAAACATTGGTGCCGTGACTCATGGAGAAGCTGAAAGCAATTCGTGGTGGACACAGAAGCGCCGTCACAAGACTAATCAATAGAACTAACCAGAAAATTTCAGAAAATGAAATCGAGAACCAAGAACTTTCGGCAGCCACAGACACTCTGATGAAGAAGAGGAACTTACTTGAAACTTTGGACACACAGATTTTAGATGGAACAGAAGTCGGAGATATGGAACAGGAAATTTTGGATAGTGATGAATTCAATTTACATTTGGAAGTGTCAATTCACAAATTCAAGGACATTACATCAAACTCAGGAGCTAGCGTTCTAAAACCTACGGTGAGTGATTTTTTAAATCAAGGTCCAGCAGCACATATTTCAACACTTCCAACAACAAGCAATATTAATCACAACACAAATCAGACACAGGATGCTTTTCAAAGCACTTTTGTAAATCACGGAGCAAACGCAACTTATAACCCTTCTCCTAATTTCTATCATAGACTACCAAAGTTAGACTTGCCTTCATTTTCGGGAGATATTTTACACTGGCAGACATTTTGGGATTCGTTTGAATCAACCGTACACCAGAACCCTGCTCTTACAAACATACAAAAGTTTAGTTATTTAAATTCACAACTCCATTACGAAGCAGCACAGTGTATTACAGGGTTAGCCCTAACCAACGCAAACTATGATCAAGCAATTAATTTACTGAAGGAGCGTTACGGTCAACAACAGAAAATTATCAACGCACACATGCAAAATCTTCTTGATTTACCAAGTCCTTCATTTACCCTCAGTAGTATTGTCATTTTATGACAGATTGGAAGCGAATATCAGGGGACTTGAATCCCTAGGTCAGACGCAAGATACATATGGATCCCTTCTTGTACCCATAATTTTCCGGAAACTACCCGCAGAAATGAGGAAAAACTTAACACGGGAACACAGAAAAAATAGCTGGGATATAATATCGCTGCGTGAAGCTTTAGCAAAAGAGATGTATGTACAAGAGGCTGGTAATGTTAATACATGTATGTCCGATAATATGACATCAACTGCGTCTTTTCACACGGGAGCCGTTCCTAAGACAAGCACAAATAAACAACAATTTAGGGGAAATCAGATCAAGACCATGAATACACGCTTGACAACTAAACCATGTGTATATTGCAAACAGTCGCATTCGTCAGTAGATTGTACAAACATTGTAGACCACGAAAAACGCTTTACCATAGTTAAACAGAAAAACCTTTGTTTCAATTGTCTCGGAAATCATAAAGTTTCAGAATGCCGTTCTAAATTTAAATGCAGTAAATGTAATAACAAACATCACACAAGCCTATGTAATAAAGACAAGACAAAATTACACGATGAGCAGACAACCGCATCTGTTAGTACAGTTGATATTGAAGAGGGAAATAGTAACACATGTATATTTTACACTTCGTCAACATTGCCCATGCAATCTAGAACTGATGTACTACTGAAAACAGCAATTTCACCAGTTTGGACAGGAAACCAGACCGTATCTGCAAATATACTGCTAGACGAAGGCTCACAGAAATCTTTCATTTCAGAAAATTCAGCTACAAAATTACAAATTACAACAAAGGGAACCACCACAGTCAGTCTAGCTGCATTTGGAGACGCAAACAGGAACGTGCGTAACCTTGATAAAGCCGTTATTGAGTTGGAAACCCAACAAGGAGAAAGAATACCAATGGAGGTGCTTATTGTACCCACAATAGCTGCCCCTCTTCAGAACCGAATGAATTACGAAGCATCTAAACTTCCGTATTTAAAAGGTTTAAGATTAGCACACCCCGTATGTGAAGACGATAAATTTGAGATATCTTTGTTAATAGGCGCAGACTATTATTGGGACATTGTTGAAAAC